GCATAAAGAAGATCTGTAAAGTTGCAAACACTAAAGTCTCAAATCCAAAGAGATATTCTTTATAAAAGTTAAGAGTCAGCCACGCCTACCTAAAACACCTCGTTCTAACACGCCCCCACATATCTACATCACTGTGTGGGAAGATTTGCATAACGCCGCCCAAATGTTCACGCAAAGAAAGAAGGCATAACTTTTATTCTCGCTGTAGTATTGTTGTTGCCGTGTGTTTCGTTGTGAAAGCGAAACTACTTTGTTTGGTCTTCCAAAAGAGGACGATATCGCTTCGTCATGCCTAGAGCTGATCCGTGCTGGACGCTGGGGAAATACATCAACATCGCCGGATCGGCTTTCACCGTGGACGAAGCGGAGTCCAGCCCGGGGTCGTCACATGTGGTTGCCGCAAGTCTCCGCTCACTCTAGCCCGCTGTGTGTGACACTGTGTTTCGTTGTGAAAGCGAAACTACATTGTTTGGCCTTCCAAAAGTGGTATATCAGTGGAAATGAATCCTCATAATTATATTCTAGACGTACATAGAATATAATAGCATTAAAGAGCAGCATAAGGGTTTATCGCTCAGGGATCGTCCACTCTTTGAGAACCAGCCACATTTATATTAGAGTTTTGAGCAGTCATTCACACAGATTCAGACTCACGTGTGTGTGTGTGTGTGTGTGTGTGTGTGTGTGTACCTGAGCGTCACACAGGCGCAGGAAGTCCACGCTCAAGTAGGCTTTAATGCCATCGATGGCTCCAGGCAGTGTGACGCCGCGCAGCAGCAGGACAACGAGGACGACATAGGGCATCGTGGCTGTGATCCACACCACCTGCACACACACACGCACAGACACACACACTCACACACAGTCACACACACACACACATGCACAGACACACACACACAGACACACACACACACACTCACTCACACATGCACAGACACACACACAGAAGATATTTTGTAAATTTCCTATCATAAATATATCAAAACTTAATGTTTGATTAGTAATATGCATTGCTAAGAACTTCATTTGAACAACTTTAAAGATGATTTTCTCAATATTTAGATTTTTTTGCACCCTCAGATTCCAGATTTTCAAATATTGTCCGATCCTAACAAACCATACATCAATGGAAAGCTTGTTTATTCAGCTTTCATGTGATGCATGCATCTCAATTAAAAAAAACTGACCCTTATGATTGGTTTTGTGCTCTAGGGTCACATAAAGTAGAAAATAAATGAGCTCATAGAATATTAATTCTGATCTACTGACACGGATGATCAGCATTTTCTCGCTACACTGATTTGTGGGAAATGCCAAAAGTGCAGTGTTGACTTCAGTCTTCACTCCCAAAGCAGTTGCTGTCACACAACAGAGTCCCACACCCAGTGACCCACAGCGAGAGCTAGTCTGAGTGTTCAGAGCTAGTCTGACTCTTTGTGTGAAAGCAGCAGCGGGATTCTCCCGTCACACATGTGGGATTCCATCCCGAGGAAGCAAACATGTTGATCAGAGTTCATTACAGTAATCTCTCCTCGAGCGGAGCTTGTGATTAAGATGTCTGTCTCTCCGCGAGACGCTTGACAGCCGTTACGTCTTTAGGAAACAGATGATGCTTTATCAGCCCTGAAGAGTGTTCACAAGCAAGCTTTACACACACACTATCAGCTGAAGAGAACTCAAGCTGACGAACTGATCCTTTATACGATCTTCCAACTGAAAATTACACTAAACCAGCAGATAGCTCAAAAACTACTGACTTTATGATTATATGGAGAATAATAAAGTAAAGTCCCTAAACTCTGACATTACAGCTTCTTCAGATCAGCACATCGGTTTCTTTAAAGCACTTTTAGAGGTTTTTATTGTTTAATTAAAAACTCTGCTATACCACATTAACAAATAAGAAAAATAACTACTAAAATGCTAGTTTTGTAAATAAGTTGTGTGCAAAACTCAAGCATTTTAAGCGAAAGCCTTTTTGATCAAAAAGTTGATCAAGCTTAAATGTGTTTCTAAATAAGTCCAAACCAGTTTTATTTTACTACCACTCAGATACTAGAATAGGTTTAATTCATACTTTGAGTTTGTTTTTATAGTTTCTGTTTTAATTTAAAGTTTTAGTCAAAGCTTCAGTAACACTGTTGCAAATGTCATACTAAAAGCCCATTGTTCTGTCTTCCACGTGACTGCAGATGATAAACAGCACCTGTCCGCTGTTTGCCGTCATGAGTTTGTTTCAGGAACACAAACACCTTCTGCCTTGAGAGCCAGTGCACATCCGATGGAAACAGCGCTGTCACTTTAAGACCTGCTGTGTTAAATCACACACTAAAGGAAACTTTCTGAAGGTCACGTGCCTTTGAAGATGGGGCAGATCTTCCAGACTCCTGCTGCTCCTTCACGGTTGTACTGGCCCAGAGCTAGCTCCATATAGAAGAGCGGCATCCCAGCGATCACCATGAAGAAGAGGTACGGCACCAGGAACGCACCTGACACA